ATCTGGAGGTGTAGATGTCTGTGATGGTGGGGAGACTGACTCCAACATCTTCTGTGCAGCCTTCACCACTCTCTGCAAAGCTTTTCTTTCTGCAGCTGTGCAGCCTCCATGCCACACGTTGATGCTGGAACACAGGATGCTCTCCACTGCACACCTGTAGAAGGAGGTGAGGACTGAGCTTCCCAGACCAGCTCGTCTCAGCCGTCTGAGGAAGTAGAGTCTCTGATGAGCTTTCTTGATCAGGCTGGTGGTGTTGTTGCTCCAGCTGAGGTTGTCATTCATGTGTACACCCAAGTACGTGTAGCTGGAGACCACTTCCACCGCAGATCCTCTTATGTTCAGGGGGGTGTAGATGTTTTTGTTCCTTCTGAAGTCCACAATCATCTCCTTTGTCTTCTTCACATTGATGTGAAGGTTATTCTCTTTGCACCAGCTCTCCAGGTGTTCCACCTCTTGCCTGTAGCTGGACTCATCATTGTTTGTGATGCATCCCACCACCGCTGTATCATCTGCAAACTTTACAATGTGACAGCCTGGATGGGTAGCTGCACAATCATACGTGAGCAAAGTAAACAGGAGGGGGCTCAACACACATCCCTGAGGAGAGCCAATGCTGAGGGTTATGGTGGAGGAGGAGAGGTTGTGGATCCTCACTAACTGTGGTCTGTTTGTTAAAAAGTCTAGTACCCAGTTGCAGATGGAGGGGCTTAGTCCTAGTGTGGATAGTTTGTCTCAGCATGGAGGGTGACACAAGGTCTGGGCCTGCAGCCTTATGTGTATTCAGCCTTTTAAAAAGCCTCCTTACTTCATCCTCTTGTACAGAGATAGCAGGGGGTTGTCGAGGGCAGTCCAAAGTCATTAAACCAGTCGTTAAACCAGTTGAGCTGGGGTTGGTGTGGAGGATGGAGGAATGTGAGTGCATGACTTCAAAGCGTGAATAGAAGTGGTTCAGATCGTTTGCCAGTTTGAGATTGTCTGTAGAATAAGGTGCTCTGTGCTTGTAGTTAGTTATCTCTTTCAGCCCCCTCCAGACAAAGGCAGAGTCGTTTGCAGAGAACTGTTGTTCCAGCCATGTGTTATACCTGGATTTAGCCTTCGACACCTCCCTGCTAAATCCATACTTCGCACGTCTGTAGTTGTCTCTGTCCCCCTCTCTGAAAGCAGCCTCCTTCTGCTGACAAAGCTGTCTTAGTTTGGATGTGAACCAGGGTTTATCATTATTGTCTACAAATCACTGAACAGTGTCGCCCCCCCATCTCTCTAATTTGCTACAACCGTATGTCCCACCACGTTCCCTGAGGTCAGCGGACCAGTTGCTCCTCACAGTTCCAGAAACTTTTCTTAAGCGCAGAGGTGACAGGCCCTTCTCTGTAGCAGGACCAAGACTCTGGAACGAGTTACCTCTGCTTGTCAGACAGGACCCTCCCTCTCGGTTTTCAAGTCCCGTTTAAAAACTCACTACTATTCAGTAGCTTTCAACACAAGATGATCTGTGTTTTGATCCTGTGTGCTCTACACTGGTTTGTCGTCATTATCTGCATCGTTTTTTGTCTATATTCTGATTTACCTCATTTTGTATTTTGCTTTGTGTGTTACCTGTTGTTTTGTCTGTACAGCACTTTGGTTGGCCTTGTTGCTGTTTTAAGTGCTTTATAAACAAATTGGTATGGTATGGTATTATTGAAAATGACTCTGGAGCGTGATGGGATGATGCTGTCCTCGCAGAAATGTACATATGACGTCACAGTGTTTGTGTATTGTCTAGACTGTCTGTAGAAGCCCTGAACAGGTCCCAGTCTGTGGTGTCCAAACACGTGCGTAGCTCCTCCACAGCTTCACTGGTCCACTTTTTGGATGTCCTCACCACAGGTTTTGAGAGTCAAGTCAAGTCAAGTCATATTTATTTATAGAGCAAAATTTAAAACTGATAGACTGTTATCAAAGTGCTCAACACTAATGGTAACACTAAGAAATAAAAAGCAGTAAGAATATACCTTAAAAAATTAAAACAACAGCATTAAAATGAAGACATGGAACAAGATACAGTATACTAAATCAATTCACACAGTATGAAACGCCAGAGAGAACAGATATGTTTTTAGCAGGGATTTGAACACAGGAAGGGAGGTGGCATGCCTAATGTTGGGGGGTAGGTTGTTCCACAGTTTGGGACCCATGACTGAAAACGCCCGATCTCCTCGGAGCTTCAGTCGTGTTTTTGGAACAACCAAAAGCAGCTGATCGGATGATCTCAGAGCCCGAGAGGGAACATATGGTTCCAGTAGCTCAGAGAGGTAGATGGGTGTGAGGCCATTTAGGCACTTATAGGTCAGGAGGAGAATTTTGAACTCAATCCTAGTTCTCACAGGAAGCCAGTGTAGGGAGGACAGAACTGGTGTGATGTGCTCATACCTCGGTGTACCGGTTAAAAGCCGAGCTGCAGCATTCTGAACGAGCTATAGCCGTGAGATAGAGGCCTGGCTGACCCCAGCATACAGTGAATTACAATAGTCCAGGCGGGTTGTGATGAATGCATGGACTAGTGTTTCAAGGTCGGGTCTAGACAGCACTGGCTTGAGCTTAGCTACCTGCCGCAGTTGGAAGAAGCTTCTCTGCAGAACCGAACTGATCTGTTTGTCGAACTTAAAATCCGAGTCAAAAACCACTCCAAGGTTTTTAACAGAGTGCTTCAGATAAGGCTGAAGGGAGTCCAGGTTCACAGGATAAGAGGCGGCAGCTGAGCTAGGGCTAAAGACAATGACTTCAGTCTTCTGGTCGTTAAAACTTAGAAATTTTGAAGCCATCCATGTCTTAATGTCGTCCAGACATTTTAGGAGAGGGTGGACGGAACAAGCACTGGCTGGTTTCAGTGGCAGGTAGATCTGACAGTCATCGGCGTAGCAATGGAATGGAATACCATGTTTTCTTAGGATCAACCCCAGCGGAAGCAGATAGAGTGAAAATAGAAGGGGTCCGAGAATCGAGCCCTGCGGGACACCACAGGAAAGAGGCATTGAAGTGGATAGATTTTTACCCACCTTCACACAAAAACTCCTGTCAGAGAGGTATGAGCGGAACCAGTCTAATGTAGCACCTGTAATCCCAACCCAGTGTTCAAGCCGAGAGATGAGGATACTGTGGTCAACAGTATCGAAAGCGGCAGTAAGATCGAGGAGTACAAGAGCCACAAAATGACCAGAATCATTTGCTGTTAAAATGTCATTACAAACCCTAACCAAAGCTGTTTCGGTGCTGTGGAGCTGCTTGAAACCAGACTGAAAGACCTCAAAGATTTTGTTCTCAGTTAAAAACTGATTTAACTGAGTAAAACCTACTTTTTCCAGGATTTTGGACAGAAAGGGGAGTTTTGAGATTGGTCTGTAATTTGAGCAGGCTGAAGGGTCAAGACCAGGTTTCTTAATTAACGGTGTGACTACTGCATGTTTGAACGCCTCTGGGACCACGCTTGTAGCAATACTACTGTTTAGTATAGTTAGAACAGCAGGCCCAATCGCTGGTAGAACCTGTTTGAACAATGATGCTGGGATGGGGTCCGATGGTGATCCTGATGGCTTCATGTGACCAGCAACTTTGTTTAACAATGGGAGTGTGATTGGTTTGAATTGCCTGAAAGTAGCAGAACATGAAACAAAAGCTGATGGGTCGACTAAGGAGCGGGGGATGGAGGCCCTGATCAACTCCACTTTCTTAGCAAAGAATTTAGTGAAGTCATTGCAGGTGTCAACAGAGGCCTCCATACATGAATACGAAGGGACATTTAGAATGGAATTTACTGTTGTGAATAGGGCGCGGGGGTTGTGTCTATTTGAGTTGACGAGTTGGGAGAAATATTTGTTTTTTTCAGATTTGACAGTGTTCTGATAATTTTTTAAACAGGTTTTGAGCAAAATGAAAGAAACCTGGAGATGGTCCTTTTTCCACTTGCGCTCAGCTCTCCTGCACAGGCGTCTCGCTGCCCTGGTGGTCTCATTCATCCATGGGTACTGGGCTCTCCTTGGTTTCCTGACTTTTAGTGGGGCCACCAGATTCAAGATCTTAGTGCAGGTCACATTGTGGTTACTAAGCAGCTCCTGAGCACCGACACAGGCAGAGGTTTCAGGTGTTGTAGCAGCAGCGGTAATAAAGGCAGAGGAAAAACAAGCAGCAGTTGAAGGGTTAAATATACGACAGGTCCTGGGTGGAGCGGGAGATTTAGAGACACGAGCAAGAGGTATTACAAATGAGATTGGTTTGTGATCAGACATGACAGCATCCCCAATTTCCAGATTTAACACAGAGACACCACAAGACAGAACAATATCAAGAGTGTGACCCTGATGGTGTGTGGGGCCGACAACATTTTGCACCAGGTTTAAAGAGTGGATCAGACTTAGAAAGTCCTGAACCAAAGGCTTTTCAGGACAACAGATGTGCACATTGAAGTCCCCTAGAATTAGCACACGGTCGTATTTTAACAGTATTGCAATGAGAAAAACCAACAGTTCACTGATAAAGCCTGTGGAGGATTTGGGCGGTCGATAAAGCACTGCAATCAACATGGGGTTGGAGCGGCCCAGTTCAAAATGCAGTAGTTCAAAGGTCTGAAAAGATGGTGTCTGTAACAGTGTGCATTTCCAGATTTTCTTAAAAACAGCCAACACTCCTCCACCTCTTCCAGATGACCTCGGGCAATTAAGAAAACTACAATCAGCAGGCACAAGTTCAGAAAACACACTTGACTCACCCGGAGGAAGCCAAGTCTCCGTCAGAAACATGAAGTCCAGATTATTTGTGCAGAAAAAGTCGTTCATGATGAAGGTTTTGTTTGTTAAAGACCTCACATTGAGGAGAGCAAACCTTGTTGGGTCAGCAGCTGAGGGAGAAGTTGGGGGGGGGGTGCAGATCAGCGGTTTCAGTTTGTTTACGTCGGGTCCTCGCCTCCTCCGGCCGGAGAAAGTGCAGCCGGGACGAACAGCCGGAATCCAGGAGCCGCCGGACACAGCAGGGTCGTTGGTGCGATCCGATGGGGCAGCAGATGGTGCAGCTGTTGGACCCGGGTTGGTTTCGGTTTGCTGGATACGGTTGGAAACACCGCAGTTGGGCGCGCGCTCGCTGCACGCCTCCGACCCGATGTTCTGCAGCAGGCAGGACTCCGCGAGGCATCCAGGTGGAGAAACCTCAGTCCGGTGGACAGCTGTAGCTGAGGAGCGAGCGAGGTTAGCTTTGAGCCTCACGAGGCGGCCAGCACGTCTCCCACGGCGACGAGAGCGATGTTTTTGTGCAGACACGAATGCCGCGCGCTGGAGATACCCAGGTACGTTCCCAAGCAGCGGAGGTGGGGGCCCAGAACCCCGATCAAAATGTTCATAGGAGGCGAGATAAGTGGTGGAAAATTCTAGATTGAGCAGTTGCTGGCGATCATACACCAGTAGTGAGCTGATCTTATTGAAGAAAAATGATAAAAATAGCAAAAAAAGAAACAGAGTGGACAGAGGTGAATGGCAAGCCACCAGCTCGGGCGCCATCTTGGAATGAGCTTCAGTCTCTGTCTGTATGTCTTACTTCCGGTAAGATGGCGCCCGCGTGCATGGCTTGCAATCCACCTCTGCTGATGGTGTTCAGATTATTTCTGTTTTGTTCATTTTTTATCTGTGGCATGAATTCACTCCTCATGTATGACCAACAACAGCTTCTGGATCTTCGTTTTTCTGTCACTGAAGTCGCTTATTTCGACCATTATGAACGTACCTCTGCCCCCCCCCCCTCCTCCCCCCCCTGCTGGAGGACGTACCAGCTTACCTTCACTGGGCTCCTCAAATGCCTGCCCGGAGACATCGCTTCATCTGCCGGGGAAAACGTGCTGGTCAGCTTGTGAAGATTAAAGCCCTGCGCGCTGCATCTTCCTCTCCAGCTGGCGGTCATGGTCTCCATCTCCAGCTTCCCGCGTGCCCGGACCAGGTAACCAACAGGAGTTGTCGGCCGGTGCACCACTTGGACCGACCTGGAGGGGCTGTTATTGAAAACCTGCGACCATTAGCACGCGCTAACTCCACCATTGCTGGCTCCGTTTTGGACAGTGTCCGGATGTGTTTGGTCAATGCAAGATCTGTTACCAACAAAACTATTATCCTCAGGGATTACTTTCAAAAGCACGAGTTGGGCTTTTTCTGCATCACAGAGCCTTGGATGTCTCCGGGTGAGTCCAGCGCCTTGACGGAATCACTGCCACCTAACTGTTTGTATTTTAACGCCCCGCAGCCATCAGGCCGGCATGGTGGTGGATTAATAACAATATTCAAATCAACTTTTGACTGTAAACAACTGCTCATCCCAGTTTCTCGCACCAGCATTGAGCTGAGCGTCTTTGAACTCGGACATTCACCTCCGACGCTATTTGCACTCATCTACCGCCCACCTCGAACTAAAGACTTCATAAATGAGATTTCTGACTTCTTGGCTGAAATCACAGCAAAATATGAGCATGTTTTCATTATTGGGGACTTTAATTTGCACGTTTGCTCTCCTGAGAAGCCCTTGGTTAAGGACAGTAGGACTGACCTCCTCAATCCTACTGGCACGTCTTGCACTGAGGAAGCGGAGCCTGGGGACTTTGGGTCGGGCTCTCCAATCTCTGGTGCTGAGGTTCCCGAGGTGGTTAAAAAGCTCCTCGGTGGCAAAGCCCTAGGGTGGATGAGATTCGCCCGAAGATCCTTAAGGCTCTGGATGTTGTGGGGTTGTGTTGGCTTACATGACTCTGCAATGTTGCGTAGACATCGAGGGCAGTTCCCCTGGATTGGCAGGCTGGGGTGGTGGTCCCTCTATTCAAAAAGAGGGACAGTACAGTGTGTTCAAACTACAGGGGGATCACACTCTTAAGCCTCCCATGTAAGACCTATTCGGGGGTTCTGGAGGGGAGGGTCCGTCGGAAAGTCAAACCTCAGATTCATGAGGAGCAGTGCAGTTTTCGTCCTGGTCGTGGAACACTGGACCAGCTCTACACCCTCAGCAGGGTCCTGGAGGGTGTGTGGGAGTTTGCCCAACCAGTCTACATGTGCTTTGTGGATACGGGCTGTTAGGTCCCTGTACGACTCGTTCCCAGTGAGAGTTGGACTCTGCCAAGGTTGCCCTTTGTCACAATTCTGTTCATAACTTTTATGGACCGAATTTCTAGGTGCAGCCAAGATGTTGAGGGCATCTGTTTTGGTGGTCTTAGGATCACTTCTCTGTTTTTGGCAGATGATGTGGTCCTAATGGCTTCATCAGGTCGTGATCTACAGCTTTCGCTGGAGCAGTTTGCAGCCGAGTGCTACACGGCCGGGATGAGGATCAGTTCCTTCTAAATCTGAGGCCATGGTCTTAAGCTGGAAAAGGGAAGAGTGCCCTCTCCGGGTGGGGGTGGAGGTCCTGCTCCAAGTGGAGGAGTTTAAGTATCTCGGGGTTTTGTTCACGAATGAGGGACAAATGGCACCTTAGATTGATAGGCAGATAGGTGCAGCATCGGCAGTGAAGCGGGCGCTGTATCCGTCTGTCGTGGTGAAGAGAGAGCTGAGTCAAAAAGCAAAGCTCTCAATTTACCGGTCGATCTACGTTCCTACCCTCATCTATGGTCATGAGCTTTGGGTTGTGACCGAAAGAACGAGATCACGGGTACAGGCGGCCAAAATGAGTTTTCTCCACAGGGTGTCTGGGCTCTCCCTTAGAGATAGGGTGAGAAGCTTGGTGATCTGGGAGGGACTCCTAGTAGAGCCGCTACTTCTCCACATCGAGAGGAGCCAGTTGAGGTGGCTTGGGCATCTGGTTAGTATGCCTCCTGGACGCCTCCCTGGTGAGGTGTTCCGGGCACGTCCCACCGGGAGGAGACCCAGAAGAAGACCCAGGACACGCTGGAGGGACTGTTTCTTGGCTGGCCTGGGAACGCCTTGGGATTCCCCCGGAGGAGCTGGCCCAAGTGGCTGGGGAGAGGGAAGTCTGGGCCTCCCTACTTAGGCTGCTACCCCCGCAACCCGACCCCGGATAAGCGGAAGAGAATGGATGGATGGATGGATAAAGCTCATAAAGAAGACTAGCTCAGTTCTTGGGACTCTTCTAGAAACTTTGGAGATGATTGTACAAAGAAGGATTCTTCATAAAATGAAGAACATTATAGACAACCCTCGGCATCCTCTTCATCTGATTGTCATACAACAACAGAATGTCTTCAATCAAAGGATTCTTCAGATCTGCTGTAAGACAGACTGCTACAATAGATCCTTCCTGCCCACAGCCATCAGTATATAGAACAACTCTTTAATGAAACCAGGATGATGAGTTATAACAACATTTAATTTACCTCTGGGATTAATAAATAATTTTTTTGAATTGAAATTAATTGAATTCTATCAACTAAACGTGAACTAAACATGAGTATACCCGGACAAAATCATGGCAAAAATTTATGGCACAACACCAACAAAACAAATTTAAACACTCACCAAAATGTAAATGTATGGAACAAACTTGCAGGTATCTTGGGACGCTGGAGAAGGTTATAGCAGGATGTCTCACCGCTGATAACCAAGCCATTCGTCTCCTTTTTGTTTGGTCCCTCGCTTTGTTTCCAGGTGAGAAAACAATGAAACGAAAGTCCGTTTTTGATCTTTTCACCAGTCATGTGACCGGACATCATACACAATAACGAAACAAGTTCGGATCGTTGTTAAATTGCTTTAACCTAATTAGATTTTTTTTTTAATCAGTGAGAAAGCTTTGTTTTCAACAGTTACTTTTAAGTCAAGTCAAAGTCAAAGTCCCTTTATTGTCAAAAGCTGCAATACGTACAGGACATACACAGGATTGAAATTACATTTCTCTCAGACCCCGGTGCAACAATAACCATTTAACATTAAAACATTTATTAAACATAAGCATAAAATGAAACAATAAAAGCATGATACTGTCTTAAATTGTACTATATGGTATAAAAATATTTTTAAAAAGTATATCTATAAAATAAAATGAAATGAAATGAAGGTCCTGACATTGATATTTGTAGTGAGTGGCAAAGCAGCATATGAAGTGAATGTACACCGTGTATGTATGAAGTCCTTGATATTGATGTAGGTAAAATGACATATGCAATAAAACTAGTAAAAAAAATATTTGTATATCAGCGGTAGTGTAATATAAGCAGCGGTGTAAGTATAAACAGTAGTGCAAATGTAAACAGTAGTATGAATATGTACAGTGGTATGAATGTAAACAGTAGTATGAATATGTACAGTGGTATGAATATAAAGAGTAGTATGAATATGAACAGTAGTTTGAATATGAACAATAATATGAATATAAACAGTAGTTGGAATACAAACAGTAGTTTGAATATGAATATGAACAGTAGTTTGAATATTAACAGTAGTGCAAATGTAAACAGTAGTGTGAATGTAAACAGTAGTATGAATATGAACAGAGGTATGAATATAAACAGTAGTAAGAATATGAACAGTGGGCAGCAAAGGACGGCAAAGATGGCGCTCATATCCCATTTGCCACCGCGCCGTGGACACAGTGACGTCACGTTCTAAAGCTCTAAAGACATATCGGCGCATGATCATCACATGACCAATTTCAGTCAAGACAGCCTCTCAGAGACCCCATTATAATTTGTCAAATGTACAGACTTTACAACAGTTTTTAAATTGTTGATAGATCAAGTAAAACCAGAGTTATAATAAATAATCCACACCACATCTTTTTCTGAAAATCGGCATCATATCTAAAGTGCATTAGAGCAATGATGGGTAGTCTCAGGGTCAAAACACCCCCAACACCCTCCACTTTCACCTCCCATCCCCGCCGAACAGATAAATAAACGTCCCCACTCCTTTCTGACGGAGGCTCCAAGTTATTTGTCAAGCGCCAAAAAATCTACAGGAAGAAGAAAAAGTAAAAATGACAGTGAGAGTGGGAGGGAGTCATGAGGTCTGAGAGATTTGTGATTTTTAATGTGTTTGAGTTCTATAGTTCGGGTGTGTTTAGTGTTTAGTTTAGTCAGTGTTAGTGTGTTTGAATCAAAACAATTAGACAATTTTTGAACGTGAGGAGGAGCTGCAGACTCAGAGGAGGACAGAACCATAGAGTCAGAACCTCTCAGACAGAGGAGAGGATCATGAAGGAGAAAAACAGCCTGAGTCAGACAGAGAGGATTTTGTTGGTGAACAGGATGATCATGATTTGTTTTAGAAGAGGAAGAGCAGACCGAGCCCCACTAGGAGGTCTGACGCTGCAGAGGAGGGGGTCCAGAACCTCTCTGACTGAGCCAACAGAACCAAGCATCAGGTCTGAGCTCTGGAGAACAGAGGAGGATGTGGATGTTGACCCAGAGGACTAATGGCGGAAATTACCCTTTTTGTTTTAAATTACCGTAAAATAAATATTTTGTCAATTTAAAACATACTGAAGTGTAGATGTGAAGCCCCCACACCTGCCTCCACCCTCATCTGCCCCACTCTGGCCCTTGAGCAAGGCCCTTCAATCAATCAATCAATCACCTTTATTTTACCAGGTAGAGCCCGTTGAGATCGAGATCTCTTTCACAAGGGTGACCTGGTCAAGTGGTTATCAGCACACGTCACAGGGTAATTGACAATAAGCATTTACATTTATCAAAAGAAAAAAGAAACTACTATCACGATAAATAAATGTTAACAGTTTGACACCATCAGGATAAGACAGACTTCTGTAGACATTAAATGTAGAACCTTAACCTTAACCCCCACCATCTGCTCCCCTGGGCACCCTAGACAGCAGCTTTCTGCTGAACACAGAAGGATGTGGTAGCTCAGTGGTCTGTGGTAAAAATAATTGCCATGTCTTTGTGCGACTTAGTTTGCTGTGGAGAAGGGAGCAGCTGAAAGAAGAAAAAAAGAAGTGTAGAGTTTTTAGACAAAAGACCCTTAAAGTGTTAAAATAAAATAAATACTTTGAATTTATTTCAAGATTTATTTTAATTTATTTCAATATTTATTTATTTATTTAATAATGTAATTTTATGTTGTGACACTTATTTTGTAAAGCTACTTTACATATTTCAGTGGCTTAAATTTTTTAACCCCGTTTTTCATTTGAAGCTTTTTTTATTTCATGTTCTTTATTCAAATGAGGAGGCGGGGTTTTCTCTGTGGGGCGGGTCTGGTCAGGGTCGATGAAGTTCATCTATTAGTTTTATAGGCCAGGCAAACCAATAACCAAACCAAAAATAAAATAAACGATGGTCTCAAGTCTCACGCACTGAATGTGAGACACCCACATTTCATAAGGTGCACACGGCACACTTTGTTTCTCACGCTAAATCACACACGCAGGACCTTTTTGGAAGAGGAACCAGTGTGCAGCACAATGTTTCCACACGGGCTGGAGCACAATAGCGGACATGGCTGCAGTGTTGCCAACTTAGCGACTTTCTCGCTTTATTTAGCAAGTTTTCAGACCCCTCTAGTGACTTTTTTTTTTAAGGGACTAGCAACAAATCTAGACTTTTTCTGTGTTACTTGAGACTTTGGTGACAAAACCATGTTCAGCAGTGAGCCATAAGCCCCTCCCATTCCCCAAGATCTGACAGCTGTCAGTCTCGCAGCAGAGAGGAGACCTGCTCCACTTCATGTCCACACTGCAAATGAATCACACCCTGGAGTACAACGCGGGATGTAAATATAATACAATGCTCAGTTTCATCAGAAATCTTTGCATTTCATCTCAGAGTTCTCCGATGTCCTCCATATTGCCCGCTTGTCATCGTGACTTCCTGAACACAGTTCATTCATGATGTGAAGGTAGCTGGACCAAGCAGAGCTCAGTGAGGGGAATACTTTGCTGTGATTGGTCAAAAAAGATAAACCCCGCCCCCTCATTTGAATATAAGAACATGAAATAAAAAGCACTTCAAATAAAAATAGGTCAAAAAAATAAAAGCCCCTGAAATATATAAAATAGCTTTACAAAATAAAAGTGTCACAAAATGAAACTCCATTATTAAATAACTAAATACATAAATCTTGAAATAAATTTAAAATTAATCTTGGGGAAAAAACCTAAACATATCTATTTACATTTTCATGGGAACATTTATTTATTTAATGGAATATTTATTAATAATTTTTAAACAATACTATTTATTTATTTATTTTATTTTGAATGAAATGGCTTTCCATACTGAAAGACTGACTAGTTTTTTGTGTAAAATAACTTAAAACTTGTATTTTAATCAGTTAAATGAGGTTGATTTCCCCCTGAGGAACGTGATTAGTCCTAAAGTTAAAGGTTCAAAGCTTCTAATTCAAATGTTCACATGTGACACTTGATGTGGATCAGACTTCATGATCTTGTCTGTAGTTACAGAAAACAAAAAGAAGTTTGTGAGCTGCATGCGTTCAGCTGGGATTGCTGCAAGAGGACAAATAAAGATAAATTCATTGTGAAATAACTGTTAGAAGGCAGCACAGTGGCACAACTGTAGAGCTGCTGCCTCTCAGCGAGCAGGTCCCTGGTTCAAACCCCGGTTCAGGGGCCTTCTGGGTGGAGTTTGCATGTTCTCTCCGTGCATGCGTGGTTTTCTCCGGGTACTCCGGTTTCCTCCCACAGCCCAAAAACATGCATGTTAGACTGATTGGTAACTCTAAATTGTCCCTAGGTGTGAGTGAGAGAGTGAATGGTTGTTTGTCTCGTTTGTCTCTATGTGGCCCTGTGATGGACTGGAGACCCGTCCAGGGTGTACCCCGCCCCTCGCACAGTGATTGCTGGACATGGGCACCAGCGACCCCCGTGACCCAAAATGGAATAAGCGGGTAAAGATAATGGATGGATGGATGGATGGATGGATGGATGGATGGATGGATGGGTGGATGG